ATCAAGGTCCAAAGCCCCAGTTTTCTGCCCCTGAATTTGCAAGGGCTATGCCCCAGCCAAACCAACAGCAACCTCCTCTGAAGGCGATTCAGTTGGAGGCAGTGGTTTTCAACTTGTGGGTCTAGACCCCTTTGGGGAGGTTGAAGGATCCTTTCAAGGGGATGGCAAATCAGATATTGACATTACGATTCATAACAGTAGCAAAATTATAGTTCCGAAGTAGCAACGAAAATAATTTTATGATTGGGGGTCGCCACAGTACGAGAAACTGTTGAGAACCACTGAACTGAGGCCATTCGAGTATCTGGGTTGCCAGCTGCCATCTGATCTTTTGAGCTCAGAGAGAGATTTTTAAATTCAGAGTCATGGCTAGCTTACTGTCAAAAATCAAGCCCATTGTGAGCTCATCCATCAATGATTTCCTTTGATTTCTCTATGTACTTGTACCAAACACACTTCAGCACAGTTCCCTTTATCATCAGGGCTCTGGTCTCCCACTCTGCTGGAGTTTATCAGCAACCGAGTCTGCATCGAAACAACCCCAGTGAGAAATTAACAGGGTCAACTACCCACATTGGAAGGGACAGCCAACATGTGTAAACCCTGAATGTTTAGATTCTTGGCTTCTCCCACTTGAGCTTGCCTTTGAACCCCGAGCAAAGGCGCTGTTGTCTCAATCCCTGCCGTAAGCCGGGCAAAGCTCCCTTCACAATGGTGCCCTAGTCCAAGGAGGCTTTGCCTGTTTTCTTTAGATGCTTTCATGGGTTTTAGTCAGTGAAGTAAAGGAACACTGTAATCGCCCTTCACAAGGTCAATCAATGTTTAAAAGAGCACACATATTCCAGAGTGAAAGAGCACACGTTCCAGATCACACTTGGATCACCATCAGGAGGCTGCCTGGGCAGAATCCTGTTAATCTCTGGTCTTATCTCCTTCTCCTCTTTCCCCCTCTCCTCCCCGCAGTGGTGCTCAGGATTGAACCCAGGCACTCCCAGATGCTAGGCAAGCACTCTGTCCCTAAGCTACAACCTCAGCTCTCATTTTTCTTTGCCTTTTAGGATAGGGTCTTGCTGAGCTGCCTAAGCTGGTTTTGAACTCACTCTGTAGCCCAGGCAGATCTTAAACTTTCAGTCCTCCTGCCCGAGTCTCTCAAGTAGCTGAGATTACATGCCGACACCATCAGGCCCAGGTCTTATCTTGTTCTTGATAATAATAATGGTTATAACAACAACAGCTATCAATACTATCGGTATTACTATTTACTTAGTACACTATTTCTGTGTGACCACCAAATAGCCCTTAATGCTATGCTCCTTGGTTATTTCCCCATGGTTGCTGAGGGAGACAGAGTAGCATACACAGGAAAATACGCAGCCATCAAGTACAACACTTCCAGAACCGACTCAGGCAAATCCATCTCCCTAACTTCTTGCTTCTTGGTTTTCACTAAACCAAGTTACGGAAGCCTCACCAAGGATTGGGGGCTCGTTCCGGGGCTAGTGTCCAAAGATGCCATGGCAGTATTGTCTAATACGGTACTGTGATGCTGACGTGTTCCACGTATGGACAGTGCGGCCCCTGCCTCCGTGGAAGAGGACCAGTGTCGGAGCAGAGCTGAAGAATCAGCTGAAACAATTTTAACTCCTTAAAATTATGATAGAAATAGCCACAGCTGGGGGCTCCTTACCCAACACGGGAGAGCTGGGTACCTTTATAGACCCAACTCTAATCATTCACGGAACTCTGTTTATGAGTGTTTAAGAGCACACTTTGTCACTGTAGCTTCAGAGGGAAGGCAAAGTGGCTGGTCAGGGCAGAACAGGCTCCACTGCTACCACCAGGGGTCACTGAGTTTGGAACACATCCCCGCTCCCTCGTGGGGGGTGGGGGGGGTTGGTATGATCACACTCTAGGCAGCACAGCCACAAGAGCTAAAAACAGAAATTCTGAGCGGCTTGAAAGACGATGTTGAAAAACAAAAGCAGTGGAATGAAACCAGTGGGTGTCTTGTCAGCCCAGAGCAACCATTACCACCAGCCCAAAGGAACAGAACTAATTGCGGACTTAAAAGGGAGCAGAAAAAGGAACGAGAAAAACACGAGAAAACAACTCAATCAGAAAAATATCTAAGCAATGCAAGTAGTTTCCATGGACACTTGTGATCAACCGGGTCTGTGTTGTGTTTCAACATGGCTAGCTCACCCCGCCCCGCTTTCCCTTCATCCCCACCTCCTGGGCAGTCCACTGAGATGCCTCCTTTCCAAAATGCAATGACTTCCGTTTACCTCCTTACGAAGGGGATGAAGCATGTGGCACACTTCCGGAGAACAATGGGTCTGGTCTCTTTGCGGAAGAGCAAAGTAGGGTGACACAGTGGCTTTCAGGCTTGGGGCCAGGCGCCAGCCAAGCTGCACACATTAGCACTGTCCCCGCCCCAAGTCCAGCACAGCTGTTTCCTTTCTCCCAACTACTTCCCTCAGCGCCCCCCCCCATCTTTTTTTAAAACAAGAAGGGACCACCCCAAACAGAAAGGTGTCTATTTTATGTTTACAGTGTGATGTGGAGTTTTGTAAGCAGAACAGTGGGAAATGGAGAAGATGGTTTTTTTTTTTTTTAATCATCCGAGGATAAAGGGAAGGGTTCTGAGAACAACACTGTGACTTTGTTTCCTGGAGTCAGGTCACAAGTGTCGCGGTCCTAAACCTCAGTGATGCTCTGGAAAAGGAGAATAACCATTTCCTTCTCAACACTAGACCCAGTAGTTCCTCATGGCCCTGATTTTCTTTCGGTCCCCATCTATTCAGCCAAAGGTTGGAGTGATGTCCCCTTCCTTAGCCTGCTCCGAAAAGCCTTCCCAAACTGCAGAGTGTAATGAATCAGTTGACATGAAGACGAAGACTATAATTTCCAACCAGGAGCAAGGGTCAAGGGACCAGGCATTCAGGTGAGGGTGGAGTCTGAACAAAGTGGTGGGGAGGTGCAGGACAACGGGCTATGGCAGAGGGGAGGTGACGTGAGCTGTACCAGAACTACTTGCTCACTGGTGGCCTTGTAGCCTAGGTAGGGCTAGCCTCAGACACCCTCAGAGGAAACCCTTTTAGAAACACAGGAAAGGCAGGCCCAAGGATTAGAAAGGCCTAAAAGTGGACCCTGGATAAGAAATGATAAATCCTCCTGCCCTCCCCCAGCCCCGAGAGTCCCTGTGTACAACCCTTTATTCAAAGTGCCTCAGCCGAGCTGCACCTTACAAGCTTCACCCCCCAATCCCTATCTCTCATTCAGACAAAAATCCAAACACATATACATATATACGCCATTCACCTTTCTTACATTCAGACGAAGATGGGGGCTGGGAAAAACCACCAATTAATTGGACCCAGTCTCAAAGGAGAGAAAATGAAATGAAAAATGCAGGCTGGGTTATAAAAATAAGTATTTTTTTCCCCCAACGTGCAGGAGGCTCATTATATTAATTAAACATTATTGCAGAGAGTGAGAGGGGGAGGGGGATTAGAGCTGGGACTGGGGTAAGTGCTCTCCCTCCTGAGCCTGAGGCTGTGGTGATCCTCAGATACAAATCTCTCTGAGCCGGCACTCAAAGGCTGAAGAGATAAACACTTGAAATATGAAAATGTTTTTCTTCAGAGCGGACGCTGTGACCCTCTGGGAAAGCAAGTGTGGGCGATGGCAGGAGACTGGCCCCCAGTGATCTTCTAGAGCTTTCCTCCCTCCTTGAACTCCTAGGGATGGGAGGCACCATCAGCACTTGGGGTGAGGGCAGCTCTGAGGAAGCCAATATGTGTGTGGGGGGGTCCCTCCTCTTTCATTTTCTAGCCTTTTCCCAGAGTACTCCACCAACATTCAGCCTGCTAAATTTCCAGAAATAACCCCCTGTTCTCCCCCAGGCTTATTTATGGGCATCTGAGGTCCAGGCAGGAGGTGTGTGAAAACTGAAAGCTAATCAGAGTGTTTTGGACCAAGGCATACTGGCTTGTGACCGCCACTTGTTAAATTCTGGAGCTTTACAAGCCAATTAAATATAATCGTTATTAAAAATTAAATGACATAGGGCTATAATCAATTACATTAAAAAGGAAAATAATAAACACCCCCAACTCAACATTTCCTAGTCATTTCAGTATATTCTGTATCTGTACCGTGGAAATACACTCCCCAAGCCCCCTACTGCGGGTCTCAGCTCTGCCTCCTATGTCTGTGACTCACTGAACTGTGGGGAGAGTATTTTTTACCATGGAATGAGGCACACCTCATGGAGCAAGTTTGGGATTTTTGTTTCAATCCCTGGAAAGCCTATTGCTAAAACATCTCCAGAAGGCAACTGTTAGGGCAGGTGAGGGCAGAACCAGCAGCCCGCTTTGTTTCCTCCTTGTTCACAGGGGCTAAAAACCATGTCTATCTACAGTGCCAGGATGGGTTTCTGAGATCTGGCTTTTGGGGGCCAAAAGACGGTTGGCTGGCTCTTTGCTAAGACACACCCGTTGGGCATCCCATCCACGGCGTCACACCCTGTGCATGGCAGCATTTCAGTCCTGGAGCGGCGGTAACCACAGAGCTATGAGTCAGAATCAAGGGCAGCCGTTTCCCAATGAGCAACTTTTGGGAACAATACCTTGTTGTTGACAAGAGGCCATGTGACCATAGTTGCCAGTGCTGGCTAGGGGGACAAGGGGACACTAGTGGATTCCCAGCATCTCCTAAAGGACCTCCCAATGGCTTCTTTCTCTCATGGATCCTGGCTTCACTTTCTCGCTAGCAGCTTCAAGATGGGCTGAAATATCCTGAGTGGGCTAGGAACCACCGACCAGCCAGTGTGTGCGCCCGCCCGCGCGCGCGCGCGTGGACGTCTGTGGTGGTTTGTGGGCCAGGAGCAGAAAACTGCCCTGTGGTGGGAAGCTACGAAGCTTGCAAGGGAGTCGGGACGAAAACCATGTGCTGCTGGCCTTCTCTCCATCTTTCACAGGCTGCCTCCACTGCCTTACCTGGAAATGTTCGGTCCTCGGGGCTGGCACTACCCATCCAGGTGCTTCGGAGCCACTTGGCATGGTCGTACATCCAACCACAGGGCTCTTCGGGGAAGTCAAAGTTGCAGTTGAATCCCGAAGGGAGTTGCAAGTCTTTGTCTAAAAGGAGAAGAAAAGTAAGCAAAGGCAGGCCAACGAAGCGGGCCCAGCGTCCAGCCACAGCGATGCCATTTCAATGGCTGCCAAGGCCTGAGTACGAAGCAGGGAAAGAAGGGGTCCCCTTTGCCCGTGCACTTCACTCATCTTGGCGATCCCTGACTTTCGGGTCAGGCTTTGGTCTCCTCCTTCCCAGGCATGGAAGCCAAGTCTGCCAGTGGTTCCCATAGTAAGCAATTACAAATGAGGCCACCAAATGGCTTCGGGCTCTAACCAGCCTCCTCTGGCTACCTCGGAGAGCAGACACATGTGAACATTGCTGCTCCCTAAAATGCCAGAGAAGAATGTCTCCCCACTGCCTCACTGGCTCCCCAAGAGGATCATCTCAACTCCTGCCAGCCTGGCTCTCAGAAGCGATGGGGCAGCCTGCTAGCACCCAGAGAGACCTGAATGCCAGGGAACTTCTGGCTGAGGCCGAGAAAGTGACCTCAGAAACAAGGCTGGCTTGTATGCCATCCTTTACCTCTTTGTGACACATCTCTTATTTCAGGGGGCTGGTATAGTTGGGCACTGTCAGGTGGGCAATCTGACATGTTAAGAGTGAGAACGAAGGTGGGGGGGGGGTGGGGGGGTAGGGTGGGAGGGGTGGGGGGGGTCATCCTTGGAGCTGCCCAGCTCAGAGCTGAGTAAAATGGGAAGTAGTTTGATCGGCTAGGCTTGATGGGTCAGTACTGTGACCCCAGTTACTCTGCAGCACATGAGCTGAGCTCCTGACGGTTGGGATCCCAGGGGTGGTGACGAACACGCTCTCTGGGAATCTCTAAAAAGTGACCACATAATGGCTCACCCTGTCTACTTTAGAGATTTACCTAGCTGAGCCCAAAGGCAGAACCAAGTGGGTTTTCTCTGGGGTTCCACCCAGATCTAAAAGCCCGGGATGAGTTAATGCTAGTCTTGGAATTAAGTGGGGGTGGTACCGTGGTGGGGAAAGGGAAAATGGGAACCCAAACCTGGACACTTGCCAGACACACAGGAAAAGGGTGGGCAAAGCGGGCAGCCCAGAGGAAGTGGGGTCTTTGGCCTGTTCACTTCCTTTCCCAAGTTCCCAGAGAGGAATTTCCACGGGGAAGGCTCAGAATGCTGGTTAAGATGTCTAAAGGCAACAGCAGCTGGGTGAGACAAATTGCCCTCCATGGGGTGGAGGGTGCTTGGCCTTAGAGGCAAGGGGTGCCGCTGATCTCAGCAGCAGGACGCAGATTGCCAGCAGACCCTACTTGCGTCCCGCCTTCCCTAGAGGGAACATTTAATGTTTGCCCACCCTTAGCCAAAGTCAGCTGGACTGGAAAGGAAACACATGGAACCCATCACAGAAGCATCAACCTGTGGCTTGGGAAAGTCAGTCTATAGCCCTCACCAACCCCTTCTCTCCACAATTTCTCCACATGTCTATTTTTCCATTCAAAAATACAGAGTAATTCAATATACCATAATTCCTCTGTAATGTTTATACGCATACTGTATCTCAGGAACCAAATTCCACAAGAAGATCTTTTACTAAAAAGAAGGGGAGGGACCATCAAAGAAACCTCAAATCAAACAAACCACTGTAAACGGTAAAATTATATTAAAAATAAACTTCTGAAATTTTGCAGCAGAACCCTTAAATTTTCCTTTGGATGGCCGTGTCGCTGGGCTCCCCATTCCCCTGCCTCCTGACACGCTAACTCTGTGAATCTAATACCATGCATAAACTCCGTGTGTGTTTCATTTCCAGCTCTCGCTGTCTCAGAGATGTCTTGGAAGATTCTCCACTTCTCATTATGAAACTAAAACAAGTTCATTAAAATGTCAAGATTTTGTATTCAGCTAACCCTGACCAACAGTGTTCCCTACCCACACACTATACCAAAGCACACTCCCCAAAACATACGCATTTAATTATCATTTTTCAATCCCACAATTTCAGCATTAATTTTTGGCTTTCCCCCCACTCTTCTTTTTATTTTTATTTTTTTCAAGACAGGGTTTCTCTGTGTAGCTTTGGTGCCTGTCCTGAATCTCGCTCTGTAGACCGGGCTGGCCTCGAACTCACAGAGATCCTCCTGGCTCTGCCTCCCGAGTGCTGGGATTAAAGGCATGTGCCATTCACACCACTAGACAGTTTCCTATGCTGCCCCCTGGCTGTGAGCAGGTTCCAGGGTTTCCTCCGTCATCTACATCTTTACATCCCTTCTCAAGCTTCCTTGCTAATCTTTCCTCGCTTTGTTTAATACACATAGCGATCAGTAACTTACTGTAAATTGAGGTTGTCAAACTTCAAAGTCCAACCCCAAAATGCCAGGTGTTGTAAAAGTTGTGGCTGATCAGTAATGTCCTAATATAGGGTAACTTGAACAGTAGCATTAAAAAAAAATAGGACTTGCCTTTGGGATCTTCCGATTACTGACTTATCTAACTCGGATATGCTTTGAAGACAAAAATGAGGGTAATAAAGATTTCCCATGTGAAGAGATGATCTAAAAAACTAGGAGCCCTTGGGTTTTTGAAGGACTGGCTGAAGATACCTCACGTCCTGCCTTTGCCCCTGGCCTGTGTGGTGTGACACATAGAAGGTGTGATACGCAGTCTGGTAGAATCGTCCCCGTTGACACTTTCCTAAATCAAGATTATTGTGAAGACACAGGGAAATGCATCGATCCTGGTTAATGGATGGCCTAACTTGGCTATCACAGACAATGACCCTCCCCCTAAAAGAGACACCAGGTCTTCATATGACTGTAACCACAGAGACCCATCCCAACAGGAAAAGCTGTTGCTGCTGTTACTTCTTAGGCTGGGGATGATTTTCCTTTCACTACGTCAATTCTTACCTTAGCGGTGGGTTTGTATCTGTAGGGCTACACTAGTTGTTACAATATCTAAGTGTCTCTAATAGCCACTGTCTCAGGCCTCTGAGTATTTGTACCTCCCTGATGCCTTCTGTAAGTTCACGTGGACCTCTAACCCAAGGTATCTCAAGTTCTTGCCCGATCAGGGGCCATCCGTCTGGTCCATACCCATGCCACCCCAGATGAAATATGATGACCGTCCCAATCCTTACCGTCCTCAAAGCTGCAGTTTTCCCCACACTCTGTGGCATCCTCTTCCATGGGATATGGGGTGGTAGTCTCTTCACTCTTTACGGTGGGTCCCAGCGTCTCCACTGTGGGCTTTGAGTCTGTGTGGAGGTAAAGGGAGAGAAGAAAAAATGCTGCAGCCGGATGATGCACTGTAACCCAGCCGGAGAAGATGCCAAAAGCCAGAAATCTTCTTTCTAGGTGTGAGCTTGTGAGGAGGAAAGGGAAGTTGCACAGATGTGCACACAACCTGAATTCACCCACGTGAGCTGTCGGTGGAGGAACGAGGGTCCCTTCAGCTGAATGATAACCATCTAGAACTCCCGAAGAAGCTGCCACAGGCGTGAGCACGCACCCAGGCTCCTGATCCCACACTGGAAGCTCCCCAAGGACAGCACAAATGTGTCAGCCATGGGGTGGATGACGCTGACCCCCAAAGTGGAGCTGAACCATATTTGGGTATTCTGTTAAGAGGGTAGTGTGGTAGGGCACACAATCAAAATAAATGCTGCCCACCAAAACCAATGGAAAAACCTCCACGCTTATGGCAGCATGTTTCTGTGACGTGGGAAATGGGCCCCAGCACTGTGCCGCTTCGTGGCTGCTGGTGGGCCTCGCTGCTTGGCCCTGCTTTCTCAAAAAACACACTCTCCCTATGCTGGACAGGGTTTATTTGGAATCAAAACTAACCCTATGAAACAATTTGGCCCGTGGGGTCCCACCTACAATAAAATAATCAGGAGTACTTGTCCCCAAAGTTGTGAGTGACACTGCAACTTAGGAAGCCCGGATCCAGACTCCGTGTTGGTGTTTCGCGGCCATGGACGGATGGGACCATGGATTTGAAGAGACTGAGGTTGGGTGAAGTAATTTGGGCTACACCTTCTGGTCAAGGTATGGCCAATTAAAACACCCACTGGATATAGTTCCCATTCTGCCGGGAAGCTGACGGGGGTGGGGTACGGGGAAAGAGTGGGGTGTGGCAGATAGAGATGGTGGCTGGCAGGCAAAGAGTCACCCGAGGCACCATGACTTGATTCAAAAGATAGAGAGGCCCAGAGAGGAGATAACTTAGTCTGGCTAGCTCTTCCAAATTCCCCTCCCCACCTCCAGAGAGGCCTACCATCCCTTAGTAAAATCTCCAGGCTCACCAATGCCAGCAGCTTCTAACAAAGGTTAGAAGAAGGAGCACACACCAAACCTGACTAGGTCAAACCAGGCTGCAGGCAGTCCATTTTCACCTGGGCCAGGTAGGTGATTCACACATCCATTCATTCACTTGTTTTCTTGCTCAACAGGTCGCTCATTCATCAACTATGTGGGGAATGAATGAGGCTGTGAGTCAGGCCCTGGGTGGGGCGGGAAGAGTTCTGGAAACCTGGGTGTTGTGGAGAGGTGAGTGCATCCTAGAGCTGCCCTCCAACCAGATGCCCCGAAGAAGCGAGGGCATTGTACCTCCTGTCTTTGTGTGTGCTCCTTTGCACTATAGCATGTGATTGGGTGCCTTTGTGGGGCGCCCTTCAGGACGCTCTCTAATAAAGCCGGGAGCTGAGGAAATGGGTAAATATGCTGAAAAGACTGTTCACGGTCGACTTCCCACCTTTCTGCTATTAAATACTATGCACATAACCTTCCGTGTTTCCCACTGCCGTGCCTGCCTTTTGCTCAAAGAAAACAGCAAATAACCTCGAAGCGTCCTAATTTGCGAGTTCAAATTTGTCACCGTGTCATGGAATCTCAAGCTCAATTGTAAAAGCTAACTATGGGCAGCAAGGCAAGAAGTAATCATTTGAAACCCAAACACACTGGCTAACAGGTGAAGCGGGCCTGTCAAATGATTTAGCCGAACCGGTTCAGCCCAGCCCTTCAGATTTTCTGTTTTCCTTTTGGGCGGGGGGTGGGGGGGTGGGGGGGGGGGGGGGTGGGGGGGGGGAGAGGAAGAAGGAAGGAAAGAAATGAATCAAGGGCGACTTGCAGACAGAGATGGCGATTTTAAAAACAAGAAGAATGTGTACTAAGAACTGTTTCTGGAAGTTTTAGACGAAACTGGTCAGCTGGTGGGAGGAGATAAAGTGAAGCCCCCCGGGGCCATGAGGGGCTGGTGAGGTGATAAGGGGCCAGGGTGTGTGAGTGAAAGTGAGGAAGCAGGAGCCGGCCTCTGTGGCCACTGTTTGTACTGGGTACTCTGAGGTAACTACCCACCAAACAGCAGCGTTCCTCCCAAATGAAAACCAGATGTCAGAAACATCAAAGCCACAGAGTCTGGGCAGAGGGTAACATGCCTCAACTCTGATCTTGCTAGAGTAGGGCTGGGCTTTGAAATGGGAAACCTGCTGCTGTCACCAGGGCAATCTGGGGCAGGTTGGGGCTGGAGGGGCAATGAGGGAAGAGGACACTCGCAAATGTCCAGCTGGCCATAAAGCAAGGCCAGTCTGGGAAGAGGCATGGTACAGAAGGAAAAGGGGCCAGAGGGAAGTGTGACTTTCTGGGACTCAGTTTCCCAGTCTGTGAAAGGGCAGTAGGCTTAGCTCTGTGGTTTGTTTCTGAACCACGCATCACGCTGTAGGTCATGGAATCAGTTTAATGGGTACAGGTTTTTAGAATTCTGAGCTGTAATCTTTCAGGGTATGCTCACCTAGTAAGGTTTGAGCACAGCTTGGGGCATTCCCTCCTGTTACGTTTGCCCCTAATCAGCTTGCCAGTGTTGGGCAGCAATCTAAACACTCTCCACCATTACTCCATGCCATTCTCATAATAGCTGTGGGGCTTTGAGATAGACTGATGCCATCCCCACTTTCCAGGTAAGAGAGGAAGTCATTTGTCCCAGGTTCCGCACGCAGTGACGGCCGGGGAGGGACTTGAATTTAGCAATCTGTTTCTGAAATCCAAGAACTTCCCCACATGTGCACATGTATGTGCTTGCTTGTCAATCAAAGTGGCTGCAATGGAGGTTCAGTTTAACTTGAGGTACGTGGTCAAACGTGTTTGGAAACCACTAGCCTAGAAGTTTCTGGATCCTCTATAGCTCTAACCCTGGAGTCGAAGGTGGGCAAATGAAACTAGTTTGTGTTTGAGGTGGGTTTTTGGTACCTGTGAGGCACAGGTGACCATTCAGGCTTTGGGGGACTTAACCTTATCCCTACAAGTGTGTGTGTGTGTGTGTGTGTGTGTGTGTGTGTGTGTGTGTGTGTGTGTGTGTATGTGCCATGCGTGCGCGATGGGGGTGGTGGTGAAGGTGAGTCTTCCTACTGGTATGGATTCCACGGAACTGTCTTCACCTCCAAGCCTAGAGGTGAACTTGGGCCCCCTTCCTGGCCTGCACGTCTGCACAGGATTCCTCTGTGCACTTGTAGCCCGCTCACAGGCAGCACTTTTCTCCCCAGGAGCCGAAAGCACTCCTCTGACATGCCCTTATTAATCCTTCATGCCATCCTGTTGCCGGAGCCAGTGACAGGTACAGCAGACAGGAAAATGGGGATGCATGGGGCCCTGGTGGGGTGGGGCAGGAGAGCTATGCCTGCTGGTGGTTCCTGCTGGCACTGGGTGGGGCCCTGAGCTCAAGGTGGCTCCCCAAAAGCTCATTTTGGCAGGCTGTGCCAGCTCTGCAGAAGAAGCAGGCTAGTAGCCAGAGGCAAGGTAGGGCCTGACTCGGAAGGGTAGGTTCTTCCCTCCTTCAGCAACCAGCCAGGGGGAGGGTGAGCTCTGGGGCCTCACCCTCACAGGGAAAATTCATGGAGACACTCGCCCCAGGCCTATGCCACCTGGTAGGGCAGGAAGGAGCAGGACCATGGCTACGCACTGGGAAGATGCACCCCTGCACCACTGTCCCTCCTGAGCAAATAAATGCCTTTTACAGATGTGGCTTTGAAAGGAAAATGCTGTCTCTGAGCCTCTGACATCTGGAGGCCAGATTCAGACATAAACCGATTACTTTATTATCATGAGAGAGTTTTTCTTTCCTAAATCAACAGCCACAGCCCCCTGGCCTGAAGAGCTGGGGTCTAATTGAATTTGGGTGGGTGGTGGGTGGTTATGACTTGTTTTTCAAGAGACTCATGTTGAGGAGCTGAACTGATCCTTGACAAAGGACAAAATGCTTCCCTTGAGAGACGTCTCCAAGTTCAGAGGTGGTCCGAGAATACAACAGGTATGCAGTGATGTTTAGCTTCATCAAAGGCTGACTGCCCCTGTCCCCTCCCAGGATACCAAGACCACAAGACCAAGCGAGCAAGACATGGAGAGGAAATCCCCCTTACCTGTCCAGTCACAGCCCAGGACCTCCAGCCTCATCCCAATGCCTGCTGGTGACCATCTCTCTGGGTATACCCGCACATATTGCGCTGGAACTGGATCGAACCTTCGGATGTCAGGAGTGTCATAGTGCATGTTCCCTTCAAACAGCTATAGGGAGACAGGTTGTTCAGCCCTCCAGTAGAACTCCTCCCCACTCCCCACCCCCCACATTGTGGTTGATTCATGGGGCATTACCCATTATGTGACTTCATTTCAAACCAAGGTCTTTGTTCATTTGGAGAAGTCCACGAGGGACCTCGAAATATGGAAATTAGGGAGCATTAGAGTGGCCATTGTCAGGGGAGGTCTAAGCTCCAAATGTGATTTAAGCTGACCTTGGCCAGGAAGAACGGAAGGCAGGATTGGCTGTGTCTACCAGTCCAGATTCCTTGCCTTATTTTAAAAGTGTTTTTTTCCAATACTTGGATGTCTGTGTGTATAAGGCACCTGAATGAGATGGGGATATAGTTCAGTTGGTGGTATGCTTGCCTGAACGAATGAGGCCCTACAGGTCATTTAATCCCCAGAAGCCTGGGGCCAAAACGATCCCAATGGCCAACAGTTCCCAGTTCACTGACAGTCTGAAAGAAAATAGCCACTCCCTCTTTAGGGTAATAACACTATCCTCTTGATTACAAGTTGATGGCCTGAGATTGTTTTCTAGACCTTGGTTTATCAGAAGCAATTCTACCAAAAGAAACCTCTCCTAGATCACCAGTGCATAAAATTGCTGACAGAAGTTGGAGCTGTGTGGGAATTCCACCCAGAGCCACCTCAGAGTCCTTCACATAGGGAGAAGACAGGTGTTGAGGTGGCTATGTCCAGGAACGCCTGGGGGTCAGCCATCTGCAGGTACTCAAGATCCACAGTCTTAAAAGTAAGGGCACCGCCTCAGGCAGGGCATGCTCTGAAACTTGCTCAAATGATTTCAGTTTCCAAGAAGAGCCATGATTAGCCGTCACTAGGGAACTTGTGGTCCAGTTCCCGCTCTATCCATTGAAGGTTCTGGCTTCCAAACCCCGAGTCTTTCCAAGCCCCTGGAATTGTGAGCTGGAAGTTTCACATCAGGACTGTCAAAACCTCCAACTTAGCCCTGGACTATGCATTCAGAAAGCAAAGCCTTGCTTATTACAGGGAGGACTCCTTCCTTGGTTAAAGATTCTGTACTTCTGTAGAAATGAGGACCAGATAGCCTGGCCTGCCAGGAGATGAATCTGAAGAGGGGAGAGGCATGGAGTGCTCTTCCTTCTGGGGCTCCTTGTATGCTAGGCTCAAGGCCAGCCTTCCCTTCTCTCATGGCAGGGGTGGGCTATCCTGACCTGTTACTGCTGGCCCAGCATCATTCTCTTTTCCTTTCAAACTCAGTGTGAGAGGCACAAAAGATCTGAGCAATCAAGACTAAGAAAATACGAAGAAGCGTAACTTTCAGAAAAACAGTTATTTTTGGAAGTAAACCCCCGGTTTCTATAGTCTGGCCTCCAACAACCACATCCCCTTGGGATGTCTGGCCCTGTTCAAGGAAACTTTATCCAGAGGAGGCTGAGAAGGGCACTAAACTTCATAAGCAGGCAGTGCTGTGGTATCTGGGTTTTGAAGTCTGACTTTTTGGTCTCGAGCACTGGTAAACAGTGTGGCCCTGGATATAACATAAGCCTCCATTTTGTCATCTCTAAAATGGTGAGTGATCAAATAATAGGCTTTGTAGAAAGATTATGGGGATTAAGAAGGAGTATAACTTCAGGACCAGGCCTGGCATAACATAGTCTCTTGGTTGATACTCATTTTATTGGACTGATGGGATTTGATGGTGGCTGCTAGATGGGAAATCAGTACCCCAACTCTCTGCACCCCACCCACTTCACCTCTATTTAGAATGGCATTAGAGTTCCCCGAGAACAGCCTACCTTTGGCTGCTGAGTCCTGGGATCCTGGATGTATTCCCATTCCTTGCCATTTAGGCTGTAGGAGACTTTGAACTTGCGTACAAATGCCCTGGCTTCCATGGCAGAGATGCTGTCCCCTCCACGGGCTCCCTGGATGATGACACCTTTCACCGTCTTGGGCGTCCCCAAGTCCACCTGAAGCCACTCTTCACCTGGCTGGGCTTGAGGGTTCCGAGGGAACCAGCCGGAACGGCTGCTAACCAGGCGGGCCGCACTGGGGCTCCAGAGGTATTCTCGGGTGGAGGAGGCAGAGATCTGGGTATCAGCAATGAGGCCCGAGAGCATCCCCAGCATGTTGGAGCAGGGTGCATCTAGAAGAGACAAGGAAAATCCTAGAAGTCATGGCTGAGGCCCACTCATTAAGCAACTACCAGATCTTCGGGGTACATGCTTATCTGTTTTATTTTGCATTATGAGGTTGTATAGTCAGAGCCTGAACTTGGACCCAGAATGCTTGGTTTTGTGTTCACTCTGCTGGTTAACTTAGCGAGGTGACTTTGGTCAAGTGATTTAATTGCTCCACGCATCAAGTTCCCCGAGTCTACATGGGCTCTCTCTCAACAGTGCCTACCTCTTCAGGGCTGTGGTGGGGACTCTTAGTTACCTCAGAGCAGGCCTTAGAATGGAGCCTCATGTACCAGGGTCCAGTGACTGTTAGCCATCTGTAGTCACGGCTCTGACCAGGGCTTCTGAGAACGTGTGTCAGCACATCCATCCACGACACCAATCCCCACTGACCCTCAAGGACAGCGAGGGCAGTGGAGTTCGGGCAAGCACTGAATTATTTCCTGGGAGATCATTTTGCCTACAAGATGGGGAACCTTCCTGGGCTCAGTACCAAGTTCTCCACATGTGTCACCAGAGCTCTTTACTGCTTCGGGTCCTTCCCACACACTGCTTCCACCACCTGAGATGCCCCCCACCCCCATTCACTACCAGACTAACCTTTGCTCACCTCAAACTATAAGGATCACATTTGGCTCTGGCCAAACTTTCATTCTATAGTGATTAAGTGCCCCCAGTCACTCCTCGGAGTACCTGGACTCCCTCCACACATATGTTAGCTTATCATGATGCATTCTTGCATTTGTTTGCTATTTATCTCGGTCACTAGCTTGAACGTTCTTTGACATCGGAGACCTCATCCTGTTCACGTCTCTAGCTCAAGTCTCAGTGCGGGGTCTTCATGGAATGAATGGGGTGGGTGGGGAGCAAATGAATCACAAGTCCTAGGTAAACTCATGCTCATCATCCTCTGCTGGCCTAGCCAGCAGCGCAGAAGGAGCATCCCTTTTGGGATGAGCTGTCCCTACAAGGAGGAAGCCAGGTCCCTGTCTAAGGGTGACTGTTGTGGGATGTTCTGTATGGCAAATGTGTTGCTGATTGGTCAATAAATAAAACACTGATTGGCCATTGGCTAGGCAGGAAGTGTAGGCAGGACAAGGAGGAGAATAAAGCTGGGAAGTGGAAGGCTGAGTCAGAGAGACACTGCCAGCCACCACGATGACAAACAGCATGTGAAGATGCCGGTAAGCCACGAGCCATGTGGCAAGGTATAGATTAATGGAAATGGATTAATTCAAGCTGTAAGAACAGTTAGCAAGAAGCCTGCCACGGCCATATAGTTTGCAACCAATATAAGTCTCTGTGTTTACTTGGTTGGGTCTGAGGGGCTGTGGGACTGGCAGGTGAGAGAGATTTGTCCTGACTGTGGGCCAGGCAGGAAAACTCTAGCTACAGGTGACAAGGGATTTGTACTGAGCAACAATGGGTACAGGGCCTGACTCTGTCGCCTCTGGGATGGATGGTGGGCTGGGGTAAGCTGTTGTCTTTCTGAGTCTAATTTCTTCATCAGTGTCATCCTAGGTGAAGAACCGGCAGTAGAAAGTACAGGAGAGAGTCGTGATAGATGTAGAGAAGGTGCAGACACAGGGTACTCGAACCAGAAACTGTAAGCAGGGTCACATGACGGTACACTCCCGGACAGAGATGGAATGTGAAGAAGTAGGCAGGTAGGTGGATGGATGGACAACGAAGACCCTTCCAGGTCAAAGAAGCAACTTGTCTTTCTAGGTGGAGTTCAAAGAGTGGAAATGATTGACCTGTACACATGCATACTATTGCTAGTCCAACCACCACGGCATCACCGCTACACCATGGTACCAGCTCCCACTCTGGTGATCCCCATTGCACAGCCCTTGGGTTTTAGACCATGAGCACCGTGTTCCCTTCAGATGCTGTCCTCAAACATTGTTCTCAGTTCTCTTGCTACAATGCCAGCAAACAAGCAGTGATTACTGCCGAGTATCCTTTCAAATCTTTCCTCAGCAGGTAATGTCTGGTTTGTCTGCCCTCTGACCTCAGTAACTCACCGTCACGGAAGTCTTTCTTGACTTGCCAGGCTATGTCAAGTCCTCTGCAGGACACTCCGAGGACCATGAGGCCCTGTTTCTGGATATTCTTCATAGTTTTTGAATGGACATTGATTGATCATTTTGCTTGTTATTCATTTGTCCATCCAACTTGTCAAAATGCCCACACAGGACTGGGTCTGTCATGCCCCCATTATGTCTATAATACCACTTCTAGATTTTGGTCTCTACATGAGGCAGGAGAGAGCACTATTTGAGACTCAAGTTACCTAGGTTCAAACCCTGGTACCATCACTTCTTGGCAATTTAGTAAAGTGAGGACAATGACCTATGCCATTGAGTTCTAGTAAGAATAATAAAAATGAAAAATAATAAAAGATAGCACATTTATGGTGGGACTAGAATCTGGTATCAAATTATTATTCAGTACATTTTAACTAGTAGAAGTAGCATTAGCATAATAAAAACGTATTAGATGGATGGATGGATGAATAAATGAATGAATGATTAAGTCTGGTAGGAGTTGGGCCTTTGAGCCATTCATTTTGGGAAAGTCCAATCTTATCGATTCAGAAAGAGGGGGAGAATCCTAGAATGTAATTGCTTCTCCTGTCTCACCGGGACTCCCTCCCCCCCAACTCACCTGTGACTCGACAGCCAAAGAGCTCCAGCCGAAGGGCAATGCCCAAGTGCCACGTCTGTGGGCGGATCCTGATGAACCTTGTCAGCAGTGGCGTGTGGAGTTTATTTAGGACCACCTCGGTTGCATCATTGTTAGCCTGGAATACCTGCAACATAAGACACAGAGCAGTGACACTGAAATTCTGTTTATGAGGCCAACCCTTGAGCCATCATCGAGAGAGGCAGGAAAGCATCACAAGCCATTCCTAGAAACCATCAGTGGCCCTGTCCTGTTGGGCTTTTTAGAATAACTGAAAAAAGTTAATTTCTCATTCTGCTCTAACTTGAAAACAAACAAAAAAAAGCGAACGTTGCAAAAAGTTTTGGAAGGAAGGAACATTTTGCTTCTGGGCTGAGAGCAAACAGAGGAAGGAGCTTTCAAAAAGAAAACACTTCAGAAGCTGAGTGAGAGAAGAAAGCACATTCATTGTAAGGGAGGTAGCCATGTCATCTGTCAGGGCCAGCAGACCTCACACACTAGCTTGAACTCGACACTCCCTCTTCCTCACGTTGCGGGCGCACAGGGCTACTTACAGGGCCTTTCTCATTGCATACTCCTTCACTCTTGTTTTTGTTAGTTCCTTAGACACTTCCCCATTCTGAGTGAGTGAGCCGGTGAGGGGGGACGTCTACCCTGTACCTTCTGTCAGTCAACGCTTTTCTTGGTTCTCTCGGCTCTTTATTGTAGACAGCCTCTTAAGGGCCATGCTCCAGCTCCGTCTTAGTGTAGCCCCCAGTCTGTAATGAAATCCATCCCTGTCCCCAGCTGACCGGGGCCTCTCTTATGGGAGGAAAGGCTTTTTGGAGTAGCTTCTGACCTAACATGGTAGGCACAAGTCCCGGCTTACCAGATGGCCCAAATCAATAATGGCCATATGGACCTCATGTATTTGTATGCTCTCCATTAAAAAATAAGTAAGTAGGGCAAGACTATGTGAATTTCTTTTCGTTTCCCTGGGTAAGGGTGAATGGAAGAAACAAGCAGCCAACCGTCACTTTGAATTCATGCCTGTCATATATATAACAACCACAGGACCTTGTAGATCTACTCATGGCCAATCTTCCTGGACCAGCAGTCTCTCCTGCACAGGGAAACCAGAATCTCCAGGTCTCAACACTCAGTACCTGCCAGGTGTTTAGGCCACAGACAGGAAGAGGACAAGAGAGATTTAAAAACTGGCATATTGAACACTGAAGCCAAACACTGTCAACATGATGATTGGATACCACACTCACAACCTCTGCTTTACTGATGGGGAAACTGAGGCTCGCACATCTCTGTCTGGACCCATGGCATTCAAGCCTGCGGCTTCCTTTGCGGACTCCCATCTCTTTTGATAAATTTACAGCATTCTGACTGGTGGCTAGGAGTCCTGATGGCCGGGTAGCCCATCATGGGCTGAGGAGAAGTAAAGTCACAGACTAGTGATGTGATCCCACAGGGAGTTTATAATCCCACTATAGGACGGTTTTGGGAACAGCAGAGTATCTCGCAAGCTTACAGGCAGTCAACAATGCAGCCTTTTCTTCTCCATCAACTGTGAACCCTACCATTTGGCAACCCCGAACCCCCCATATTTTCCATTTGCTAAGGCCAAAAGATTGAGGCGGTTAAGAACACCCCACAGATGACAGGGGTAAAGGGGAAGAGACTTCACACCTTCTGCAACCAAATGAAGCGGGGAAGTAGCTTGTTCCACACAGGAAAAAAAAAAAAAAAAAAAAAAAAAACGGAAATTGATGTCATCAGTCCGCTGTGCTTAAACCACAGGACGAAACCTACCCCGAGAGAATCCTACTTAACCATCCTGCTCACTGTTCTCTCTACTTCCTAGGTAGCTCTCCCAGGCAGGACCCTAATGCCACTGGTGTCCCCTCTGCAGCTTTGTGTGACACAGGGAACACAGAAGGGCCACTCCTCTTGCTCGGGTTTGGTCCTGCTGCCGTCTTTAAGATGACTGCAGCCGGGGCGGGGGGGGCGGGGGGGGGGACACGGACGGACAGACGGACCATGTTAGCAAAGAGAGAGGAAGGAGCCCTGAGGGAGAGGTGCAGAGAGCCACCCGACCCCTTGATATGCTAATCTTTGAGAGGAGAATGGGGTTCCAGAAAGACCTTGCCTCCCCATTCCTGTTTCTTGCTTCCTTGGTGCTGACAATGATTCTCCAGTACTGAGGAAAGGGCTGGAGGAACTGAATCCAAGCTAAAGAGATGAGTCACTTCTTCTAGAGTTCAGCATGCAACGCAGACTTTTCTGTTTCTTTTTGGTTTTGTTTTGTTTGAGGAGCAGCAAATGACACACTTTGCTGCTTTCGGACGGGGTGCTGTGAGCAGTGGGGGCCACCTCTGGATGTTTCCCCCGCTGCTGCCGATGGTGATGGTGACTGCGTGTGGCCTCCATCAGGAGACACTAAGCAGTTCCTACTGGAGGTGGCTTCAGTTGGCACATAAATACCTAATTGGAGAGCTGAAAGGATTTGAACTTGCACACAGCTTCTAATCCACAACCTGTACACCATGCTGGTACCATTTAGAAACACAGCATGCTTTATGTGTTTTTAATATCCAATTTTATCTTCTCTGGCCCCCTTCATTTCTCAGCCTTGGCAGATAATCCCAGGAAATCTTTTCTCCTCTCCTCCTCCTCCCTCTCCTTTTCTGGTACAGGGTCTTACTTTGTAGCTCAAGTTGGCCCAGAACTCAATGATGTAGTTTAGTCTGGCTTTGAACTTGAGGTTCTCCTGCTTAGCTTCATGAGTGCTGGCACGCACCACTGTGCCTGACTCTCGACCCTCCCTTCTTAAGAAAATGATTGCACAACTTGAGTATCCTTGGGAGTGGACAGCTTCGGAATAAATGTGCTACATGTGGGCGCCGGGGTTGCACACATTCAGATGCACCAGCCTGAGAGAATGCATGTGACCATGAGCTTTGGGTGAGGCCCCTCATGTTCCACCTACAGTGGCCTCAGTCGGGATGGGAGATGAGCATATGATTGATCTGTGTGTCTCACATGGAATTCTGTTCTGCCATTCAGTTTTGCGCCTTCTCCTCCAGTCTCTGGATGGAGAAGGGATTCAAAACGTCTCATTTGAACTTGGGTTCAAATTATTCTTCACGTTTCCAAGTTTAGGTCCTTACTGCTTTCTTTTTGGCTTTTGACCTTGTACCTCCCTCTGTCTGCCCTCTGCCCAGACTCTCTGCAGAAGGAACATCATCTTTCTGGAGATTTCTGCATGCCTCTCACTCTGAGTGAGGCAGAGAGAACAAAACAAACCCCACCGCTTCATCAGGAGCCTGGAGTCAGGCCCTGCTGCTAATTAGACCAAGAGGTGGGCAAATATCTCTGTCCCCCTCGGGGCTACATTGTCCTTCACTGTAAGTGAGGACTCTGCAGGAGTTGACCTGCTAGCCCCTCTCTGGCCAGCAGAGTCTAAGCCTTTCTCCCCAAGAGTCTTCACCGTTTGAGCTCCTCTCTAAGAACATCCACTTTGTAAAAGGGCACTTGAGTGACCCACTGTTCCTTATAATCTAAGTGCTTTTGTGGGCAATTGCTGTGGCTATTTAATTCACTTCGCCTAGTGCCCAGAACACATGGTGAGTGCTCCATTCACAGGCAGGATATACCTTGTTGATGTGTTGGTTCAATAACAGTTCAAATTATTAATAACCAAGAGTAATGAATAACAACGCCTTAGTCCTTATGCCCTGCCTTTTGTCCAAAGACATCAAAGTGCAATTTATGAAAATCCATTTTTAATGAAATATTAAGCAGTTTCTATTTCTCCTGACCCAATGGCTTTACAAGATCTCTATTTTTCTCCCTGCATCTCCCCTATTTATAGTTGGTAAATGCTGTCATATATTATACATCTTTATGACTTTCTCAATGCTTCTGTGGTTTTAGAACCACCGTCATCCATTTTCTGATCAAATTCCCTAAGATGGATTCTTGGCTTCCAGTCTAGGCATCACAAAGGTAGCATGCCTGGGAAATGATGCCAGGAAACTGGTTTTATTCCCCCATTCTCTGCCGACTCACTAAATCACAACAGGCAGATCAATAAACCTTAGATACTTTAATTTCTCCTTTAGGAAGGTAAAGTCATTGTAAGCTTGCTGGTGGACACTAGACCCTACCAGCCCTTGTGACCTGCTCCAGGACCTGCACAATACCTCGGCCAAATGTTGGAGTGGGAACTAAGTCACAAGTCATAACTGGGCCTTTGGACAACCGGGAGAGTTCAAGTTTAGAAGGCCCTTCGCTTCTAGTTCCTGCCTGTGGCCAAAAACTGTCAAGCCAAACCTTGGCAGTGAGATGTTTGAAATGGTGGGAAAAATCAATAGATTGCTCATATGTCTTATACCCAGATAGGGACATACCAAGTACAGTGATTGAATTTTAACAACTGCTTAAAAGGCTAGACGTTGAAGAGGATATACATTTTATTCCTTTTCAAAGAAAAATACTAATATAGCTACTTTACCACCCAAAGGAAGATAAGGAGTGTGTTCACCCTGACCCTAGCCTTCTGGGGCGGCGGGGGGGGGGTGTGTTATTGATTAAATATATGTATGTGTATTGTTTTTCAGGAAGCTATGAGGAACCAAGAGCTTTCTTCGAGTGCACCTGTGCAAAGCAAGTTCAAAAACCAATTCAGGGCACAAAGTGGCTTGGTAATCCATTTGGTGCCTGGCTGAATTCTGAACATAATCCAACATTTTCCGATTGATTCTCGGGGCCTTTGCTTTATTTTCAGTAGGACAGAATCTGAAACCCAGCAGCACGGAATGGATTTCTGATTTGTGCCTCTGGGGGAGAGGAGAAATACCTGCCAAGTAAATCAGCTGCTATCCAACGCCTCAATTTGGTTGTCATTGAACACCTCCAGCAAAAAAAAAAAAAAAAAAAAAAAAAAAAAAAAAAAAAAAAAGCAGTCTGCACAGTTTCACCAGGCCTATGGCCCCCAGGCTTGGGTTTTATGGACTATATAACATAATGCAGAAGAAAAAAAATCACTTCTTACATATAAGAGAAAATCCATCCATCTAGCAAGGCAGGATCAGTGATGATTTTTTGAGCTCCTCCTTTCCCTGTTCCTTGCCC